GATTTCAATTAGGTGAAATAAGAATAAAAATATTTATAATAAAAAATTATTGTGTGTGGTGACAGTACGCTTCCGTAGGTCAATTCGGACGCGTCAAACACTGCACAGAATAAACTCTCCAACTAAACATCCTACCAAGAGAAGAACACCAAGTTTTTCTTACCAATGAAAAAAAAAAATTTGTTATTTTCCCATTCTTTTAACAACAAAGAAAATTGTGTTTAAAACCTTTAAATACAAATTAAGGCCACAAATATTATTTCTCCAATAAAAAACTTGTAAATATTAGATGTTGTTTTGAATTTGTTTTCTTACAAAATTGTCTAATATGTATTTTGAATGACATCACATATGATAAAGAGAAAGTTGAAATTTCAACATTTTTATATTCCTTCATTAGACCAATATTCTAAGGCTTCCATTGCTTTCAAGTATCCTCTACACCTTTATAAGTTAAATTATATCTACTCCAAAGCAACATCATGTTTTGCTTCTGTGACTCAATTGATTAAAGAATGCAAAATCATATATAAAGTTGAGCTTTCTTCATGTTCCAAATAGCTCAAGTTTAAAATAAAAATAAAAAATTTTGATATAATTTCTATCAGAATAAGCTTAAATAGTTTTTTTAGTACAAAAATTTTGAGTTCGAAAAAATTTTATACTAAAAAACTACTTTATAAAGCAGGAAGAAAGCTGTACCAAAGGAAGCCTAAATGATTTTTTTATATATATACTTAGGGTCTATTTATGATAACTTTCTGACAACTTTACTTTTCTGACAGCAATCACAATTTTGTTTATCTATTACTTTTTTGTTGCTTAATTTCTCATAATTTTTCAAACGTTTCTGCTGTGGAAAGCTGCTTTTTAAAACCAAAATAGTTAAGTTGTTTTCTCCACCACAAATTCACCACCAACTCTATAAAAAGTTACCGTTGTCCCAAATAGACTATTTCATTCATATTCATTCCAACCTAATTTAAATTTATTAATAAAATATACACACCAAGATTTTAAAATTTCAACATACATTGAATTGAAAGAAGGAAAGTTCAATATTCAAGTATTTAAATAATTTACTAAAATTTAAATTATTTAAATATGTATTAAATAACATAAGTAACTTTAAAAATAAGACAAAAATAAAATAAATAAATTCATAATATATATACCAACTAAACTAGTTAATTTTTGAGGAGATCTATTACAATAACTTTGAGTTTTATTCAATAATATAAATAAACTAATTTTTTTCCCCTACAATAAATAGATAAAGAAGAAAATAAAACTAGACAAGGCCAAATTAAAAAGAAACACCAAGCCAACAAGGACTGGATGGAAGCACGCAACAGCTAACCAAGCTCATACCCATTAAAGATTAATTTTTTTAATATTCCAATTCAAATTTGTTCAGAATAAATTTATTTTAAGATATATTTATATATACCATAAAAATTAATTAAAATTTTACATATCTTATTAATTTCAAAAACATAATTATTAAATTAATTTTAATTAAATTTAAATCAAAATTTTCTTTTAGGAAGCACATATATTGTAAATTCTAAATGATGAGCAAATCTACAATCCTAATTTTGACTTCTTTAGGCCTTCGTCAAGTGTTCACATTGTTTACCAACTAAAATTCTCAATCGCTTAAAATGATTAATTTGCAAAAAGAAATGTCAAAAATTATATCAAGACGGTCTTAAAATCATTAGATATGCTCTGAAATTAGCGTTACATATGAAAATTTTGTATTACACTAATCTTAAAGCAAATTTAATAATTTTTTAGTCCATCTTAATATAATTTGAAGCACAATTATACACATTTTTTTTCTTTAAATTGCCCCAACCTTCTAAAAATGCTTTAAAAAAAAATCATAAAGATTTTAAAATGAGATAAATTGGGTGGGTCCCATGTTAACCAATTATGATAGGAGAGCCAATGAATGTGAACCCTTGAACCAATTGTGGGTACTTTTCTAGATTCCTCATGGCCCAATCTTAGCTTTCAAGACAATGCAAGGTTCCTTGTTGGTGTGATGAAGAAAGAATAAGAACAATAATGACTATTTTATTTATTTATTTATTTATTTTTAGGGTTGTGATAAGGCATATCTCCACAGCTGATTTTTTTGTCTATGATTTTGATTGGTTGATAAAATTAATGCAAGTAGGAGACATATGGGATAGGGTAGCCTACCATGCTTCATATAAATATAACTTTTTTTAATGGAGATAAGTTAAGAGAGGGGCTCTAGATTCTTCTATAATGTTCTTCTAATTTATCGAAAAAATTGGCTTTTTGTAAGAAAATCTTTATTAAAATGAGAATTGGGCTTCATTTGGGACGGCTTTCTTACTGCTTCTTAAATTAGATTTCTAGTATACAAATTTTAATCTTTAAACTAGAAAGCTGCTTTGAGAAGCAATAAAAAAATCGTCCTAAACGAAGCCTTAAATTCCTTGAATTTTTTTTAAGATAAATATAATAATTGTATTGTATTTATTTAAAAGTAAATTAGGATTTAGTTGAAAAATATATTGGTTATAAATAATAGTACTTGACACTTAGTCTTTTTCAGAAAGTTTGAATTAAATAGATATTAAAGTTGGATATAAAATAGCAATAGTTAAGTTCATTTTAAACACAAAAGATTTAAGCTTATAGGTGAAGGCCAACTTTGATTTTTTATATTAACATCTTTTTAAAACTACAAAATATACGATTAAACACATATTATATCCCCTTGAAATTTCTCCTTCATATGGGAGAACTCCGTATCAACCCTGACTTCCCAAAAACACTAAATTTGTACATCGAAAAGAAAGATTAGAGCCACGCTTCACGCTTGTGGCGGAGCGAGTCTCTCATAAGACTCGTTCATAGCTGAAAATTGAAAACGACCAACAAAGTTTGTGATAAAGGAACAAAATTGAAGCATTGTGAAAAAGGCCTAACTTATATGTAATGAAAATATTATACAGGTAAACTTACTTAGTAATGATTGGTTTAATTATGGATGAACTATGATAGTCAAAGAAAGAAAGAGAAATGAAATCTAATTGATCTAATTAAAGGATATGAGAATCCAAAGAATTTTAAAAAAGTTAAGGGAGTAAGATATGGGATGTTCATGCCTAGCGAGACACAAAAAGGGTAGGCGCTGATGAGTCAGGGACCAAAAAAAATTAATGAGAAGATGCAATAGCAGTCAAAGGAAAGTAAAAAAGACAAAAGAGATGATAAAGGCTTTGTTTGGGACGACTTTCTTATTGCTTCTTAAAGCAGTTTTTTAGTACAAAAATTAAAAATATTGTGCTAGAAAGCTAAAGCTGCTTTAAGAAGCAGTAAGAAAGCCGTCCCAAACGAAACCCAAATCACAGAACTTTAGGCTTCATTTGGAACATTTTTTTTTATTGCTTTCTAAAGCAGCTTTATATTACATCGTTACCCTGCACATGATAGGATAAGACATCCACAAAAGCATTAATTTTCTATAGTTTTTGTTTTATTTTGAGAGTACACTATTTTAAAATTTTGAGAGTTTATCTTACCCTCTTCTAGTCAATATTAGCGTTGCACTGTTTATCTATGTCAAAAAAAATGTCTTATGAGATTTGCGGAAGAAGTGTGTGAAAGAGGAAAAAGACGGTTCATTTGCAGCGAGTCGAACAAGGGAGCGAAAGAAGAGAAAAAATGGAGTTTGATTGGAGATAAATTATTGCATTTTGAAGTGAAAAATGAATTTTTCAGTTGAAGATGCCCTAAAAAGATTGCCTTACTATATTTCATTACATCAGAAAAATCTGGAATGATGAGAACCTTCCTGGATACTCTACCAATCCACTGCTCTTCAATTTTCCAACTTCATAGAAAAATAAATTTGAATTAATTAAATTATATTTCTAAAGTCAAATGAGTAGATGTGAATAATAGCACTGAAAACTTTTTCAATTCTTTTTCAAAAACAAATTTTTTTGAAAATATCTTATTCTTCATCAGTTGTGACTTCTGTGATTCAGTGAGCTCGTTGAATGAATTGCAAAGATAAAAATCTAGAAGGTCATCAGAGAATATTAAGAAACCTTTAGAAAGTTATTAGATCATGTGTGAGGAAGCTTTCTTAGTCTTTTATAAATTAGAATGTTCTGATATTTCTGTCTGATTATTATTTTTTAAAAAATTTTATGATTATAAGTTATTAATTATAATTAGATATATTAGAGTGTGATTAGTAGTGTAAGAAAATTATTACTCAATTTATTAATAATAGATAATTAATGAGTTCATTAAATTAATTAAAGAATAAAGGCCAAGAATAATTAAGATTTTGACTAATTTTATGATATTTCATGGATAAATCTGAAATAATTCATAAACAAATAATTGGCCAAAATTAAAATAAGTAGTTATTATTTAATTACATTGATTATAATTTCCATTAAAATCATTAAAGTTGCATTAGTATTAAGTTATGATAATTATTGAAGGGGTAATTAATTAATTAATTAGTTTATTACTTTCAATAATCAATAATTAAATATTATTAATAAGGTTTTAAATAAAATAATTCTAGTATACTTATTTAAAACCTTAAGGTGACAGTAATTTTTTTTATGGAGATGTTTAATTTGATTTATTAAAAGTAAACAATATTTATTAAGAATAATTATTGCCTAACTATAAATTTAGCTACTATAATTATGCTAAACAAGTGAGTTTAAGCTAAATATGACCAAACAATTTTGTCAACTAATCTCTGCCTACAACAAGAAATATTTTGAATCAACTAAATGGCTCAGCCCCATATATTTTGTTTAATTTAATTTAGGCTTATTTGGGACGACTTTTTTTTTGTTGTTTTTTCAGTATAAAAATTAGAATATTTGTACTAAAAAGTTGTTAAAAAACCATCTAAAATCACAATTAAACCCAAACATTTTATAAAATTAAAAACATACCCACCACATCTAAAAATCACACAGAAATAATAAAACAAATACACACTATTAATTCATTAATAATTACAACCCTAAACATAGATATTACTAACAACACCCTCCATCACTGGTAATACCAATAAAAATAAACGGTAAACCAGGAAGAGATCTACCCATCAAAACACCACCATCTTACACTTAACCCCCTGCAAATGTCAAAAATTCCATTTGCAGGAACCCAAATACATACTAAATCACAGACCAACAGAAATTGAAAACAATCAGGACAATATAGAATCCCAATCAATCTCCCAAGAGGGATACTTCCTCAACACAAACATCTCCGATTCATCCCAAGGTACTTCTGTGAAGTCCAAATTCTCCATTTCTGAAACAGGGGAGGAGCCCTCCGATGATATCTCCCCCTCCGACGACACCTCCGGCTCGCTCTTCACCTCAGCGGCGGCAACTGGCGTTAACGACGATGCGCTCCCCTGCTTCTGTGAGCTTGCCAGGCTCTCGCAAATGGCCTCGAGCTTGGCGTCCACGGAGGAGTGAAGCTCACCGCCGGCACCGCCGCCGTGTTGGAGATGGGGAAAGTTGAGGCGAGCGAACTCACCGCGGAGGCGGAAGGCGGCTTTGTCGTACGCCATGGCGGCTTCTTCAGCGGTGTCGAAGGTGCCGAGCCAGAGGCGGGTGCGGTTCTTCGGGAGGCGGATCTCGGCGACCCATTTCCCCCAGTGACGCTGACGGACGCCGCGGTAGAGCTTGGGAGGCTTCGCCGGCGACTCGGCCGAGAGCTTCATGGGTTGGGATCGCGGAGCGAGGGGATGGTGGTTGTGGTGGCGGTGGAGTTGAGCTTGGATTTGTTGGATCTGGATAGGTCCGAGTTGGGTGAGCCCGATCGGACTATCTGAGATCAACGAATCATGCTGATTCCAATTTGATGGTACAGAGCGGTCAAAGCTGGGATTTGGCGAAGGATAAGAGAACTGGTAAGAAGAAAGAGAAGAGGGGAAGGGAGGGAGAGAAGCAGGGGAGGAATCAAAGGAGATGACTTTGGTAGTAGAAGAAGGGGCACAGAAGGGAAAGAAGGCAGAAGGAGACGAGGAAACACCATTGATAAAAGGCTCAAGTGCTTCCGTCAGTTCCTTACTTAGGAGATTATCATAGGAGACATCTAACATACTATTATACATATCTATAGCTGCGGCCATGGAAGAAATCCTTCTTAGAACTACAGAATTCGCAAAGAGCAACACCCAACTGGTTCTTAAACAAAACAAAAGAACCAGAGAGAGGGCTCGAGGAGAAGAAGCAGCGAGAGAGGTATTAAAAAGGTATCCTCTTTAAGATCTAGAAAGAAGGGAACAGCCTGATGGATTCAGAAAAACAGATCCTCACCTGGCTGAGAGAAACCTAGAAAAGAAAAAAAAAAGGATCAAGAATCAATCTCTTATCTGAAAGTCTGGCTTACTACTTACTAGAGAAAACTGATCACAGATTTCCACCGATGTTAGAAACCAAAAGATCAGATTTTTCTTTGAGAAGACAGAAAATTTCAGAGAGCGACCAAAACAAGGAAATTATTCTAGCTTCCTAGCCCAACTCTTGAGAAAACTTTCTCAAAGAACTCTCTTATCCTCACCGAAGGGTGGAAGTTATTGGTGGAGCTCTCTCTTGGGAAGAAGGAGAGGCGCTGAGACCCCTTATATAAGCGGCGGCTTAATGGCATTAGCTCCGTCGATCAATGGGTTTTAATTAATAAAAAAACTATTTATTTATGAGGATGAAATTTGTCGTCATTGGGCCCATCGAACAGGCCCCACCATTACCGACAGGTGTCCATTGAAACTGCCAGCTGTCGGCGGTAGCCATCGTCTTAAAACGTGTCAGTTAACGATTCGTAATTTGACTATTTGACCAGCGTGCAGTGGATTTCCTCGCACGCTCGTTTTCGCGCGGGAGGATAGCGCGTGAAAGGCGCGAGAAGAACAGCGGCGCTAGTGAGCGTAATAAAGTGGTAATTCGTAATTTTAAAATATTATAAAAATTTATGTGTTAAATATATAAAAATGACTAATTAGGCATTAATATGAGAAATTAGTCGTTAGATATTTAAATATAATATAATTACATAATTTACATGTTAATCTTTTAAAAAATACAATACTTTTTTTTTTTTGGAACGGAGATATCGGCTCGCTGCCACGTCAACTTGTGACGCGCATGATGGTGTCCACTAGTCCCTCGGTGAGTCTAACAGCAACCAGCCCCACAGGTGCAGGACCCACAGTTATTTTCTGTTCTTTGACTATAAATTTGGTCTATAAATCAATCGACTCAAGCTCGACCACTGATGTCTTCAGATTGGAGAATGATTAAATGATAAGTTGAGTTCAAGATCAGGTTTAATTATGCAAAATTGAGTAAGCTCACGAGTAAGCTCATTTACTATAAAAGAAATAAAATAATTATAATTCAGACAATTATTTTAAAAATAATAAGAAATTAAATTAGAGAAAAAACCCACTATATATAAGAATGTGATATATAATTTAAATCATTTCTAACAATTTTGTACTTAAACTCCTTAATAGTAATATATTTAAGATATTTTTTACATTAATATTTTTTAAATGAGTCAGATAATGAGAAATTATTACCCTGAACCCTAAACAAATATTGAACATAGATTTGTGTAATATATATCCTCAATTATTTACTCATTGTCTATAATACATTTAAATCTATAAACATCATAAAACTTCACTACATCACGAGAAATTATTATGGAGTCCAGATGGGAAGAACCGTCTAAACTCTGCACAGTGTGTACACTCACATATCTGAACGGTTCTTCCTGTCCGGACTCCGCACAGAATAATTTCTCCTACATCACACTCTTGTTAGTACGTACTCTCATTCAACTAACATTCATTGTAATCAACGCTGCAACATCCCCTCAATCACATCATCATTGCACCTACATTCACCTCGACACATCATGTTCAACAACATTAGCATGATCGATTGGGCTTGTGGCTTTCTAGGCTTAAACTTGGCCAACATGCTTGCCATGCACATTTGTAGCATTGCATAAGCAGTCAAGCATATCAGGCGAGTGATGGCAGGAAAGGGAATGCATAGTTTTGTATTATATATAAGTGCGACTGTGCGAGATAATTTAGAGAGATAAAATTTTAAGTCTTATATAACATCAAGAGAGATTATTTAAAGCTTAAAAGGGGAAAGAGCCATCATATAGTTAATTCCATGATAGTATACAAGGTCATTGGAATGGGTGTGGTTATGAAGGAGATATCGAGCATTTGCAGCAACCCTCAAGGGGATAGTAATGATTGAATAGATTTAATAGTGTCACACTCTTAGGAGGCACATGGCGGCGTAACTAGTCCCTTGGAGAGCCTACCAACAACCAACCCCTCAACCCAACAAGTGCGAGACCCATAGTTATTTTCTCCCAATTTAAGGGATTGCGCCGCATGAGAGGGAAATCATACATGAGTTTAGGGGTTCTCAATAATGCTCGCCCACCAACCCAGATAAGCCCGGTGGGATAAAAGATGAGTAATCGATCTAAAGTTTGTTCAAAAAAAAAAATGAAGGCACGATCAACATTAAAAAAATAAATTTAGAAGATGTGAATTGATTGTCTATAAATACTTTTTAAAAAAAGTAAAATTTTAATTTGATTTTTTATTAGTATAGGGCTTTATGATTTTATTTCCATTAATTTTTCATGCAAAATTTCAACCATTGCATTTAGGGGCTATGACTTTTGAATGTTCTTGAATTTAACTTGAATTTCTAACTACTCCTAATATATATATATATATATATATATATATATATTAGGAGTAGTTAGAAATTCAAGTTGACTTCAAGAACATTCAAAAGTCATAGCCCCTAAATGCAATGGTTGAAATTTTGCATGAAAAATTAATGGAAATAAAATCATAAAGCCCTATACTAATAAAAAATCAAATTAAAATTTTACTTTTTTTAAAAAGTATTTATAGACAATCAATTCACATCTTCTAAATTTATTTGTTTAATGTTGATCGTGCCTTCATTTTTTTTTTTGAACAAACTTTAGATCGATTACTCATCTTTTATCCCACCGGGCTTATCTGGGTTGGTGGGCGAGCATTATTGGGAACCCCTAAACTCATGTATGATTTCCCTCTCATGCGGCGCAATCCCTTAAATTGGGAGAAAATAACTATGGGTCTCGCACTTGTTGGGTTGAGGGGTTGGTTGTTGGTAGGCTCTCCAAGGGACTAGTTACGCCGCCATGTGCCTCCTAAGAGTGTGACACTATTAAATCTATTCAATCATTACTATCCCCTTGAGGGTTGCTGCAAATGCTCGATATCTCCTTCATAACCACACCCATTCCAATGACCTTGTATACTATGATGGAATTAACTATATGATGGCTCTTTCCCCTTTTAAGCTTTAAATAATCTCTCTTGATGTTATATAAGACTTAAAATTTTATCTCTCTAAATTATCTCGCACAGTCGCACTTATATATAATACAAAACTATGCATTCCCTTTCCTGCCATCACTCGCCTGATATGCTTGACTGCTTATGCAATGCTACAAATGTGCATGGCAAGCATGTTGGCCAAGTTTAAGCCTAGAAAGCCACAAGCCCAATCGATCATGCTAATGTTGTTGAACATGATGTGTCGAGGTGAATGTAGGTGCAATGATGATGTGATTGAGGGGATGTTGCAGCGTTGATTACAATGAATGTT